ATGTGCTAGATTTTTTGGCTCCCTATGGGAAGCCTTACCCCCTCTAAGGAGTGAATGGGGGGAAGGATGGGGGTAAGATGGAGGGAAGGTGGAAGGAGCAGAAGGAGGAGAGGTACTGGATTTGACATAAAAAATGAGAAAAGATAGTTTTTTAAATAGCTCTTAAAATTATTTCTGTAGCAGTGCTTTAATTCATTGCAAGAGAGATTTTCTTTTAGGATATAAATAAAACGGATTTTTTTTCTGAGAATTATCAAGCTCTTGAATTCTTCCCCAGGCTTCCAAATAAATAAGCATAAAACTTCTCAGAAATGAATAAGAGTACAGGCATGCATTAATACTATATGATTGTAACACCTTCCTAATATAAACAATGTCAAGAAAAGAAAGTTTTGATTATATAGTTGGTTATTCTCCTTTAGCTTTCAAAAGAGATAAAACCAACATTTTATGTTTGAGTCAGAAAAAGATACTGAGAAAAAGACAGACATCAAAATAAGAACAACAGGGAGATGAAGGAGAAATTAAGACAGGCTGCCTTGGCAAAGAGGCATCTAGAAGAAGGACTTTGTAATTAGACTTCCTTGTTCGGCCTGTAGATTAGCTACCAGTGATGGGAGGCAAATCCTCCAAGACAGATTTGTGCTGAAATGATGCAGAATAAATTCTGAGGTGTCAGCACTACATCTGTCTTGTCAACATCATACAGGTCTATTATAATATTGATCACAGTAGCCAGCTAACATCAAGCTACTACAACCTGTTAGTGATGACTATTTTATGAATTTGATGATTTTTACTTAAGCCTTTGTGCTGTTTGACATATTCTAGAATCTAGAAATATTTTATATATGAAATATGTGCATTTTAAATATTTTATTAATTCTTTGAGAATTATACACAATGCATTTTGATATTTATCCCTCCAGTAACTCCTCTCAGGTCCACCATTACATTCTTTTTTTTTTTTTTGATGGGGGAAATCAATTTTAATTATATATGGACTAATGAGAGTTCTATAGGGAAAAAAAAACGTAAGGATGCAAGCATTGTGGCCGACGTACCATCCTGAGCTACAGAAAGGAATAGCATCACGAGGCTTCCTGGAGTGAGAGACAAAGTAAAGGCGGCAAATACACAGAACAGCATGGAGTTTAAGTAGATTATTTTTATGTAGATAAAAGTCTCAGGAGTAGGGCTCAGTGAGAGACTGCTGACCTTGCCAAGGACTTCTCTCACTACAAAAAGGGAAGCAAGAATGTTGGGACTAATAGAGTCATGGTCAAGAGGAACTTGCTGAAGGTGTCTTCATTGATTCCATCTCCTCCTCTGGTTTCTTGGGTCTGTGATGTCAATGTAGGGGCTCAGCAGTCACTGTCCTCGCTGTCCCCATATGCACACAGCTGGCTCAGGGAGGAGGTCCCGGGTGTCTGGGGTGCAAGGTTGGCTGTCTTCCTGCTCTCGGGGGCACCCACGGCAGGCATCTGGAGCTGCTCTGAGCCCCTGTTGGCTTCCCCCTTCACCTTCTTTGGCACCACCAATCCGGCCAGCTGTGCCCTGCTGCGCACTGCCTCTGCCTTCCTCTTGGCCTTCGGTGACTCGACCAGGATGGCTGTGGGGTTGAGTTTTCCTGCTGAGCTTGGTCGGGAAGGAGGAGCTTCATCTTCTGAGTCAGAATCCTCCAGAAGCCTGCGGTGGCGAGCCTCCTCCAGCAAGGCTGCAATCTCACGCTCATCTTCCTCCTCCTCCTGCCTTCGCTGCTGTTCCTGCGACAGGCGGTGCTGCAGCAGCATGGCCTCAAAGTCCACGTGTGCCTGCCTCTGGTTCAGGTTCTTCAGCTCCCTCAGGTTTTCCAGAACCTCCATCTCCAGCTTCCTGTCTTTTGTGCGGTTCTCTAGGACTTTCATGGGGTTGTGCAACTCCTTTTGCACACGCTTTTCCTCCTCCTCCAGGAGCTTCTCGGCGTGTAAATTGCGCGTGGCTCCATGCTCCATGGTGTAGTTCGTGCTCCCAGGGTCTGTCTTAAAGGTTATCTCTGCCAAGCAGCGCGTGCACTTGATATAGAAACGGAAGACAGGCAGGTCCAGGTATGCCTCTTTTTTGACAATTTCCTTGCGTGCATTGAACTTCTTCCCCTTGTAGATGTATTCTCCACATGTCTTACACCTCATGGTGAAGGGGGCCATCATTCGAACCATGTACTGCCGGTTCTTGGGTAGCTTGAGTTTCGGGATTTTTGATGGGTCGAAGTCAGGTGGGTAGTATTTGTTTATAATTTTCCGTTCCGACATATTGGCTTCCTATTCCTGGAACAAGCAAAGGAGCAGTGTTCTTTTTTTTATTTTTTTTTCCTCTTTTCTTTTTTTTTTCTTTTTGGATAGGAACAAAGCAGCACTGAAGTTTTTTAATTCATGTGAATGTTAAAGATGGGCATCTATACAAGTGTCAAATGAGGGTGGGAGAGGAAGGCACAGTAGGCAAGGAGAAGGAATTCCCGTCTACTGGTAATAAAGCTCCAGGTTCATCCCATCATGGATTTCATAATCTCCCAGAGACACGTGGTCCTTAAAAATCGTGTACCACTTTTTCAGGATGATCTTTGTTCAACGGGTGCCAGTTTGGGCCACTATCAGTTTCTTCAAGTCCCCGATGGTGTCATCGGTGTTGCACTTGAAGCGGACTTCCTTCCCTAGACGGTCGTCGCAAACCACCTCAGTCGTTGTGGCTGGACCTCTAACCCGTCGAATTTATAGACGTCACAATTCCTAGCTCGAACGCAGAGCCCTGAGGAGCAGTGTTCTTCAGTCCCCTCGGAATTTATTCGGACCCACCATT